ACAAGACTTTGCTGATTCTGTAGTCTTTGCTTAGTTGCTCTGGGTTAGGGTGATGTGTCTAATCTTGGATGGGCATTTGAGTGCTGATGGGTGCATATTGCTCCTATGCTTCCAGAGGCAACTGGATTGGAGAAGCTCCATACAAGATTGGCCGTCCCTGCTCTGAGTGCCCCCCAAGCTATGGGGGAAGCTGCCAGAACAACCTTTGCTACAAAGGTTGTAGTCTTTGCTTAGTTGCTCTGGGTTAGGGTGATGTGTCTAATCTTGGATGGGCATTTGAGTGCTGATGGGTGCATATTGCTCCTATGCTTCCAGAGGCAACTGGATTGGAGAAGCTCCATACAAGATTGGCCGTCCCTGCTCTGAGTGCCCCCCAAGCTATGGGGGAAGCTGCCAGAACAACCTTTGCTACAAAGGTATGTGGTGGGGGGCTTTGGGCACCCCCTGGGGTTGGGGAAAAGGCTGGAGTTGTGGAAGCTTCTTATTAGAACCAACCACGCTTTTTAATTAACCATCCTTAATATTCCAATATCACAACACGTGGTTAATCAGCTGCTGCACCAAAAAGCCCTGAACACCCCTTCAAACCTGGAGCTTGGATTCAGAGTGTTTTCTCCAGTGAAAATGAGAGTGGGTGCTTGGATGGGGTCAGCAGCTCTGAGCTTCCATGGGTTTGGCTCAGGAGCTTGAGCAGGATTGTGAGCACTGGCAGGTTGTGGGCAGGAGTGATCCTGTCCTCGCAGAATTGTTTGGGAAGAGAGTGTTCGCCAGCCCTTACCAGAGGCAATGTGGGTGGGCAGAGCTTGGCTGCCTGCCCTGCTCCTTCAGGGGCCAGGATGGAACCTTTTCCTCCCTCCCCACCTTGGTTTTCATAGAGCCTTTTCCTCCCTCCCCACCTTGGTTTTCATGGAGCCTTTTCCTCCCTACCCACCTTGGTTTTCATGGCTGCAAAATGAATCCAGTGATTCGCATCTCCTGGTGAAGAGGAAAGGATCCTGGTTGGGTTTTCCTGACCTCTGCAGTCTTCTCAGAGTAGAGGTCAATGGAGTAAAAGTTATTAATGTGAGCAGTGCTTTCCCCCAGCACACAGGATCTCCTGGGGTCATCTTTCTCCTCCCAAGTGTTTACCTTCAGAGAGAACTGGGCTCTTGGAAACAGGCAGGTTCCCTGGAGACCTGCCCAAAGCAGAGATTTATTTTACTGCAACATTCTGATTTTTCAACTTGTGGGGTTTGAGGTAGGTCCCCAGGGTGCAGGTGGATGCTGTGGGGAGAGGGGAGGAGGTGTCCTGATGTTCTCTTCAGCAGATTTGTGTTGTTCTCCAAAGGGAAGAGGTCTATGGGAAACAGAACCAGTAATATCAGCACCTTTTTTTTCACTAATTATTTGGGATCATTTCAAATCCTTGTTGTAAGGTGCTATAAATGCTGCTTTGTGTGCAGAGGAGTGGGAGAGGAGCAACCTCCCCTCCCAGTGTCCTGGCAATAGCCTTGTGCTGCATCTAATGGGCATTTTTGATCCTCCAGCTATTTCAAAGCAGATCTTTGTCAAACTAAATCACCTCCCTCAAAACATGCACCTGTCTGACTTCTCCTCCAATGCAAACACACTGTAATTAATCTGAATCCCCTCTTCTGACAAGATTCCCGTTATGAGGATCCCATCATCACCGAGACGGATGAGACCAACGAAGTGGAGATTCCGCAGGTTGGGGAGCAAAAGCCTGTGAGGCTCTACCCTTCAGAAAGCAAGCCCAGCAAACCCATCAAGCCCAAGAAAGTCATCCCAGAATCCTACATGAGTAAGACAACCTCTCTCTCTTTCAGTTCCTATGGGTTTTTAAGTACCTCCGTGGGAAAAGGCGTGGAAAGTGATGAGGAGGCTCAAGGGGAAAAAAGGAGGATGTTTGAGTGGAGGGAGAGGTAATGTGTGAAAAGTCACTGCTAATTAGAGCAGAAGCCCACCAGGAGTGGTGAGCAAAGTCACTCATGCCTTCTGCATGTCAATCTGCAACAGCTATTTGTTTGTTTAAGCCATTTCATAGAGTCATAGATTAGTTTGGGTTGGAAGAACCTTTAAGCTCATCTCATTCCACCCTCTGCCATGGGCAGGGACACCTTCCACTAGACCAGGTTGCTCCAAGGCCTGTGTAACTTGGCCTTGAACCCTTCCAGGGATGGAGCAGCCACAGCTTCTCTCAGCAACCTGTGCCAGTGCCTTAGCACCTTTACAGGGAAGAATCTCTTCCCAATATCTATTCTAAAACTACTCCCTTTCAGTTTAAAGCCATTCCCTCTTGTCCTGTCACTCCATGCCTTTGTCCCAAGCCCCTCTCCAGCTCTCTTGGAGCCCTTTGGGCACTGGAAGGGGCTCTAAGGTCTCCCTGGAGCCTTCTCTTCTCCAGGCTGAACATCCCCAGCTCTCTCAGTTTTCCTAGCAGAGGTGCTCCAGCCCATGGGAACACCTCCATGGCCTCCTTTGGGCTTAGTCCAGCAGGTCCATGTCCTCCTTATCTCAAGCAAATATCAATGTACTAAAGGTCTCCCCATCAGTAATCAATTTAGGGTTTATTTCCCATTTAAAACACTCTGTGCAGTTCCTCCCTTTGTAGCTTTTCTGGGCTGTTTAGCTTCCTCTTTATTCTTTGCTTGGGAAGATTTCTGAAGTTATTAGTGGAGCTGCTGGTACTTCCTCAGTTGCTTTCTCCCCACTGTTAATTAAAAGAGACTTATTATGAAAACAAGGTGAGGCAAGTCAACATGTCTTTTTCAAGTTTATCTCCCAACATCTGAAGGGGCTGTAATTAAATGGAGAATGAGAGCTCTGTGTGCAGACCTCAGGCTGTAAATCAAAGCCTTCAGCTGTCAGATGCTTCTTCCTTGCTAATATTCCAAAGACACCTGTCTCAGGTGAAGGGCTAAAGAGGTGCAAACTGCTCCAGGCTGGATAAAATGAGATTTTATATAGCTCCACCAAAGACCTCCAGGGAAGATACATAGAGGTTGCTCCTCTCTGTAGCTCAAGAGCTGACTGAGCTCTTTCCTTTTAAAAATATTTATTTATTTAACTTTTTCTCCCCAGCACAAGTCATTACCTGTGAGACCAAGATGAGAGACAAATGCAGAGGCTCAACATGCAACAGGTAGTGTTTGATTGATCCATCCTGGAGCTCTGTGGGGGAAAAGTAATCTAAATATTACCCAGGTCTTGCAAACATAGGAGAGGCTACACTATGTATTTATGTAAATGTGTATTTTATAGACTATGTATTTTTATATATGTGACTATCTAGATAGATATCTTAGGAAAAAACCCAACCAAACCCCAATAACTCCCAAGAAAAAGTTCCCCTTAATTTCTCCTAATCCAAGCATTAAACCAAGCCTGGCAATAAGGTGACTTGGTTTATTTTACTGAGCCATGATGCCCCAGAGTTTCAGGTGTTCAAAATAATAGAATAAGCTTGGGCAGAGTCCTTTTTTTTGAGTCTTTTTCATGCATTCCACTGCTGTCCAAGCCAGACCAATAATTCATGGCTTGTCCCCTCCCAGCCAGTCAAGAACTTCTGGTTAAGGTTTCTGCTAAGAACAGGACAGTTTATCACTTGGAGAAAAACCAAATCCACAGAATCTAAATATTGGTCAGGCTCTTAAGGAGGGTGGAGGAACTGTTTAAAAAGTAGCTATTTTGCAATCTTGTTTTTTAAAAGGGAAGAGCTACGTGAAATGAATGGAATGACTATTAAATGGAGTCAAAGTCTGTTTTGCTTGAATTGTTGTTTTGCCACCCTCAAAGATATATATCTTTACTAGGTATTTGTGCCCAGCTGGCTGCTTGTACAGTAAGGGAAAGATCTTTGGAACATTTTATTATGAAAGTGTAAGTACCTTTTAATAGCTCAGAGATGTAATTTGTGGGGAGTTAGTGGGAATAACAGAAATGGGAAATGCCAACTATTCTGGTGCCATTCGTGTTGGCCTTTATTAGTCTTCAGTTGTGGTGCTGTAAAATGGTGGTAATAAAGATTATCTGTGTTTTCCTCATCTTAGTGATGAAAAGAAAGGAGGAGTCTGGGAAGGCAAAATGATTCCAGACATGATTTATCATGGATTGTCCTTCATGTGGGCACCCATGGAAAGTGAGGGATGGGCATCAATAGGCAGCTCTTCCAAAGATCAGTTCATTAATGTGGGCAGCTGTAATCTGAACAGGAACTTAATATGAAAAACACTGTTAAACATTATAGCTAATTAATATTTTTGGGCTGATTTGCTGGATCTAGAATTTACAATGTCTATATATAAAGCATAGTGCTGTTTTCCCATCAAAACTACTTTTGGGGGTGAAGAAAGATTGAAGATAAAAGGGTTTTCCTGCGTAAAATCGGGTTTTCTTTCCCCATTCCAACTGTTGGTGCATAACTGCGTATATCATCCATGATATATCTTTACCCTGCAACCTCTGTGATTGCAGACAGTTGTCCCCTCCAAGTGGTGTCAGCAGAAATACTTTGGGTTTGACTGTTTTGTTGAGAACTGGAAACATTTCATCCTGATCATTCACTTCCAACACTACTTTTCTTCTAAATTGTCTTTAAATGTATGGGTTTGTTATTTCGAATTCTTGCCATTCATGCAGGCAGTGCTTAAAATAATAATAGTAATAAAAGAATAAAGCTGTGTTGGGAGAGTTATTTAACAACCAGATTCCAAAGGAGTGTCCTCAGCTTATTTTCCACTTGGTGCTTTGCTGGTGGTTTCAGTTCTCCCTTGTTTTTCACGCAGTGCTTGAGCACTGCTGCTCTCTCAGTGAGATTTGTTTCACACACTTTTTCTTTGTGCTCTTGGCAGTCATCAAGCATATGTCGTGCTGCCATCCATTATGGCATCCTGGACAATAAAGGAGGACTGGTGGATATCACAAGGAAGGGAAGGACTCCTGGCTTTGTGAAGTCTACCAGGAATGGTGTGGAGTCTTTTAGGTATTGCCTTGGTCTTTGCTTTAAATATAAGCAGATGTTGAGTTGTCTTTGTTGCTCTTGTGTAGACACAGTGATTCAAGTCATTCTACTCTGCTGATTGTTCTAATGAATGATTTTGTTTGCTTGTTTTACAGGAAAAGTAAACCTTCAAATGCCTTCATGGTTTCCAAAGTCACAAGTAAGTTTGAAAAGTTGAGGAAAAGATGCTGTTGCTGAAGTTTTAGGGGATATTTGAGAACATCATTCAGTGTTCTTTTTCATTTGAAGTGGTGTCAAATGGTTCCATACCACAACCAAACCCTGGAATGGTGATCAAGGTGATCTAGAACCCCACAGTGTAACTCCACCCTCACCCACCTCGTTTTTCTGAGGGTATCTCAGAGGAAGGTACAGAAAAAGGTGGTAATGGGCCATTTCCAGCAGCATCTCCTGATGATGGATCATGGTGGGGTCCAGACTTGAGCTGCAGTGTCACAAGCTGCTGATGGTAAAGGGCTGGAAGAAGAGCCGTCCTTGTGTGAAAGCCTCAGTCTGTGTGAACACCTATAAGAAGTGAAGGAAACAATGGCTAACACCATAGAGCAGTAATGTCAAGCAACATACATGAATTAGTTTATAGCAGTGCTTCATCACATTTCTAATAACATATAAATAAATACTGAGGAGTTCTACTTTTAAAATAATTCCCGCTTTCTGATTATCTATGAAAAGTTCCTCCTGCACAGAATTGTCTCTGTGATTAGATCCACCTGAGCCACTTTCAGGGTCAACTATAGGTGTCAGGTTATTTGGACTCCATATCTGGAGCTGTAGCAAAACCACATCTTGTGGATCAGCTGCTTTGCTCTTGTGAAAGGTGTGACCTTTTCAAGGCCACGTTGTAGTATGGTGTCAGGATTGATGCTGGAGACCTGCTCAGCCCTCTCCTGGGTTCCTGCTGCTGCTATGGGAATGAGAACCTTTCTTCCCGGTGCCTTCAGTTGGACTTGGCTCTCATCAGATGTGTTGCATGACTGTGACTTGTATTTTCTGCAGCTGCCTGAGCTTTTAGATCTAATAATTTGCCTTTCCATGCTTATCTTGGCAGCACAGACCCTGGATTGCTATACCACAGTAGCTGAGCTGTGCCGCTTCAAGAAGCCAGCGAGCCACTGCCCAAGGTAACACAAACCCATTTGGGTTCAGTTTAGACCTGCTCTGCTCTGAGGAGGGACAACTTAACAGAGCATTCTGAGGTCCCTGAATTTGAGGGCTAGTGGGAGTAGAGCCAATTTTACTGGATGAACTGGAAGAGGGGATTGGGAATGGCATGTTTGTTCCTACCACCATGAGTTTCTTGGCGTCACAACAGAAAATTCACATTATGTTTTCACATTGCTTCAGTAACATGTCAGTCAGGGTCCACAATCCCATTCCAGCACTCTCTTATGTCTGAGTGTGCAGCTTCACACTCTTTGTCTTTATTCTCTTGCATTTGCTGGTTTTTTGATGTGGTTTTCCTTTCCACCTTAAAAGATGGAATAAGTTTGTTCTAGAAAGCTTCAGGTGTAAGTGACAGGGCAGAGGGGCACAAACATGCACATCATTGCACAAAAATACAGGTACTCCCCTTTGCAAAGGGCAGAAAAGACCAATCCTTCTTTTCCTGGTCTAAATCTCTCTATTTGCAGTTGTGCAGTAAGAATCAAATGTCATCTGAGGGGAACACATAATGAAATTCCCTGTTGCCACCTGCAGACCAGATGCAGGCACTTGGAATGTCCCAGGAATGCAGCTTGCCTTCCTGTCCAGCCTTGATATAGAGAATAAATCTGAATAAATTGTTTTCCAGGATTTATTGTCCATCCCACTGTAAGGATGAGCCATCCTACTGGGCACCTTTGTTTGGCACCAACGTCTATGCAGATGTGAGTATGAACCTTCTCCTATGGCCCTGTGTGTCACCATAGCTGTGTCACAGAGCTGGGGTCATGCTCTGTGATTTAGGAAGGGATATCCCAACCCTGGCAGTGTTCAAAGCCAGGTTGGCTAGAGCCTTGAGCAACCTGTTTGGGTGGGAGGTGTCCCTGCCCAGGGCAGGAGTTGGGACTGGATGATCTCTATACGGTCCATTCCAGCCCCTTAACATGCTATGAAACTCTACTGTGAAACCAAGTCAAACTCTCTGTTATCATTGCCATGTGGAAATGGGTAAATGGGGGGGGAAGGCTGGGGTCAGTGGGCTTGGGGAGCCCTTCTACTCTCCAGCTTACTCTTAGAGACTTGGGCATGTCATTTAACAGCTTTGTGCCTTATGGTGAACAGGCTTGAGGAGCTCTTCTACTCTCCAAGACTGACTTATTCTTAGGGATTTAGACATGTCACTTAACTGCTCTGTGCCTTATGAGCTCTGGCTGTGAAATCATGGCACCACTTGGTCCACCTCTGCAGAGCATTTTAGCATCTACAGATGAGCCCCAAAGGGCTTTTATTATATACTATCACATTATAGAGTTGGCAAAGAAAGACCTTCCTCTCTTCTCTCTCTCCTCTCTCTCTTCTCTTTTGTCTCCTCTCCTCTTCCTGAACAGTGTTTTTGAGCAGCCAGGACAGAGCACAAAGCAGTGGAAAGAAAGCATGTGAGCTGTTTTTATGGGTTTGTTTTTCTAAACTCTGCTGATGAGGATGAGCAGAGACTTGATTCTAAAACTAGGCAGAGAGTCATTTTCTTGAAATCTCTTAATATTAGGCCTCTAGAAACTGGGTCTCAATGTTTTTCCATTTGCAGGTGCCTGGTTGGGTTTCTTTTTCCTCCTTTCCTTTTTTTCCATGGGAGATTATGTTCCCAAATGCCAACTCTTTGGCTGCTCTGTAGCCTGCAGGAACGTGGAGTTTATTAGCCTAGGAGAAGCAGTTAGCAGCTTGTGGACCCCCAGCTTAAGGTCACCTTGGAGCTTTGCAGTCTTTTGGGAAAAACCATCCTGCAGAATCATACAGTAATTTGGGGCAGCAATTTTGAAAGCAATTTTGAAAGAACCACCCTATTTTTTTCTTTTCCTTGAGACTCATTTTTTGAAGGTAGAGCTGCACAAACAGGTTAGCCCAGACTAGCTCACATGCAAATCCATCAGGCAGCTTGCTCCCACCTGCAGGAAATGGGAAATAGTTTTCCCTTTTTTACTGGGGACAAAACTACCTGAGATTGCCCCTGAAGAGGGCCTGTGATTACCAGGATATTAGGCTTGGAGCAGCACCCCAGGCTGGCATTGCACTGACGCAAAAGGATTAGTGTCCTGTAATGAACCCCAAGCTCCATTTCCTATTGGCCCTCCTGGGTATTGTTTCATCAATGGGGACATGGATGGTGATTTGGGAGAAAATTAAAGAAGAATAGCAATAAAAAGGAATTTGGCTACTTCCTAGAGGGTTTGGTTAACCTTGTTTTGGACTAGTGTACTAACAGGGTGATGTGGGGGGGCGAAGGAAAGCACTGAGGGTGTCACCAGGGTGTGAGGTTGGTAGCAAAGCAGGTGAAACCAGCTGGGACAAAAGAGTTTGAGGTGAATGGCGCTGCAAAGGGACAGGTGGTGGTGCTGGGAATGCTCAGGCTGGCAGCTGAGAAGAGAAACACTATGCCATGATGGGAGAATTTAGGGAAAGGCTTTTTCCAGGAGCATGGGTTGTGCAGGATGCTGTCCAGGAGGGAATGTTGGGAATTAACCCAAGCCCACTGCTGAGGAATAATTAAAGCAGGCAATAAGATGGATGAGACAAGAGCTGGTTGAGGAAGAACTATGAGGAAGAATTCTATAAGGAAGAACTTCTTTACTGTGTACTGAGCATTGAACAGATTGCCCAGAGAGGTAATGGATTCTCCCTCACTGGAGATATTCAAGAACCATCTGAACACAATCCTGAGCCGTGTGCTCTGGGCTGGCCCTGCTTGAGTAGGGAGGTTGGACCAGATGACCCACTGTGGTCCCTTCCAACCTAACTGATTCTGTAGCTCTGTGAGGGCTCTGGGAAGGCAACTTCATGTCTGGTGTGATACCTTCATGGCCCTGGGGGGAACTGTGCTCCAACTGTGTCTTCTTAAATAAGTTATCTAAAGGGAAATGAAGCATTTGGCCAGTCTGTGCTCCCTGTAAGGTGCCCTCTGGGCTTTTAGCACCTTCTCCAGAATGTGGAGTTGCTAAAAGCTCTGGTGGGTAGTCTGATAGTCCAAGCTGTGATGGCAAAAATGCTTGGCTGGTCCATATAGCAACAGGATTCGCTGTGCTTTCGGCCCATAATAGTGTTCACATTTTCATGATCCCAGGAAGGCACATGAAAATTTGTTGTGCCATGAAGAACAAAGCTGTGACATGAAGAATTGATGGGTTTTATGGGATAATTCTGGGGTTTATTCAGGGGGAATAGGAGACCCTATTTTGTTCTGTTGAAAAGGCTTTTTACCCACTTTAAATGCATTCTGATAGGGTTTTTGTTTTCCTCATCTTTGTAACATTAGCTTGGATTGTGAGTTTATACTTGGGTGCTTCTGGGGGCTTAAAGTGCAAAGAGATGTTGGCAGCCTTTGCTTTAAAAAGCAGTGCAGGGAATTGTTCATGGGGAAATTAGTAAGAGTGTGGAACAGAGGCATGGAGGAAACTTCAGTTTCAGGGTAAATAAACAAAATACAAGAAATATGCAATGGGAGAAGTAGATAGGGCTGATTCTGGGGTGAGCATAGAGTCATGGAACAGTTTGGGTTGGAAGGGATCTTAAAGCTCAGCTAATTCCAACCCCCTGCCTTGGGCAGGGACACCTTCCACTAGACCAGGTTGTTCCAAGCCCCATCCAACCTGACCCTGATGCTGGAGCTGTGTGAACACTCAGGGATCTTTCTGAAAGTTGTAAAACAGCTTTTGAGTTTCATAAGACTGTAATTTGTCACTCCACCTGACTCCTGGTGTGACATTAGATTGCAACGGAAACCCATCCCCATCCCTGCACAGGAGCCCTGTGGAGCCAGGAAAGAGAAACAAGTCTCCACTTTGGAGATAAGGGGTTTTATCCACAGTTATGCAGCAATTAGTTGGAGGAGGATGTATCACCTGCACAATGAATCAGGTGTTTGCCACCAGAACAAACCAAGTTGCGTGGCTCAGCTCTCAGAACATATGAACTTAATGATTACAGCAGACACACTAATGAGGAAATTCAGGGTGATTAACATCATAGTCACAGAATATTGTTAATGACTGACTATAAAGTGCATTGTCATTTTATGGTGTGTGTCCCAGAGCCCATTTCATCAGGAAATGGTCACAGAGCATCCCAAGGGGCTTTGCCATGGAAAGCCTGTGTGTTGTCCTTACAGTAAACCTGAATTTGGGAGGAAGGCCTTATTTTTGGAATATCTCATCTTCCCAAAGCTCTGCAATCAATTCATCAAAGCACAGCTCAGCCTGGGGTAGGAGAGGGCTGTAATCCAACAGGGTGATAAGAGGAAGTTTGGGCTAAAGCAATAAAAATTGTTTGTCATAGCTTTGAGTAAGTGACAGAACAGCAAGTCCTGGAAAAAAATAAATCCAGGAATGCTTTGAAAAGAACATTGTTTAGGATGTCTCCCAGTGGAGAGTATTGCGAATTGATTCAGGACAGTTGAATTTTATGAGCCAGTTTTAGATTTACAGATTTCCCACTGCATACTAGAGTGAATTCACTGCATATCTTCCAAACACAGCATTCCCTTGCTCCCTTGGCCATATATAGAAGCAGAATACCAAATTGGCACTCCAGAGAGAGAGAGCTGCCAAGAGATAGGCCATCCAAAGTGATAAATATATAGGGGACAAGGCAAAGCTGCCATATATGGCTGAGGGAATGAAACAGCACAGACTGTATTGTACATACACGATGGGAACATTTGGCCTTGGCACAGGTTTTGTGGGACTTGGATTTTTAGCCATCAGGGAGTTTCTGGACTTGGAATTTTCACCTGCTGCAGTTCCCTGTGCAGAGCTTGTTTTTGCTTTGTGTTATTCCAGCCTGCTGTATGGAAATTCTGGGGTGAGCTGATGGCCAAGTTTATACTATGCCTAAGCCTTCTCTGCTTTTGCTCCCTTTTTCTGAATGTATTGGGAGCTTAGTCATCAGTTGCTCTTGTTTTGTGTTCCTCCAGCTCTTCTGACTCTGCACTTCCTGAAGGGCAGGGAATGATGTGCAATTGAGAAGCTTTAGTCTATTCAGAAGTGTTAATTTCCTTCCACACTTGGTGTTGTCTTCTGGGGTTATTCCCATCCAAAACCTACACCTCTCACTGGGTGCAGTCCTGTTTTTCCTAGAAAGAAGGATGTGAACTGTCCTGGATAATTAGTGGGCATTTACCTTAATTCAGGAAAAGCTTTTCCTTTTCAAGCAATTGTGTGACTAAACTTTGCTGAGGTGGCTGGTTGCTAGCAAAGAGTTTCACCACAGAGGTTTCTCTGGTGCAGACCCAAGAGGCACTGGCTGGAAAGTTGTCCTCAATCCAGCTTTGGCCCTGGATGAGATGAAGAATGGGAGATTTAAATTGGATATTAGGAAG